AGGACCCAAGATTGAGGAAGACACGTACCACCCATAAGGGTGAGAGGGGATTTTTTTTTTTAATAAAGAGGATTCTGAATTGATTTGTTCTATGATCTAGTTGTTTGTTTTTTGTCTTAATTATCCATGGCATTCTCAGCAATCTTCTTCAGCACTTCAACCCTTCAACCCTTTTTATATCCTACTTTTGCCAAGTACAGTAACCTAGTTAGGGTTAAGTATTATTTTGTATTTTGAAATTGATCTGATTGATTGTTGATTAAAAGTTATTGGTCTGCCTTTCAAGAAGCATACTCTGGGCACCTTACAGATAAAACCAAAATAAAAAGCAGAGCATTTGATTCTCTTGACTTTCCCCCTAAGAATAAAAAGAATACTTTGCAACTGCTGCTGTAATTCAAGGGCTTTTGTTTGAAACAGTTTACCTCTATACCAGTTTCAACTCACTTTTAAATATCCATAAGAAATTATCCATATTTGGAACTTGAGTAAAGAGTTATTCCTTGTTCATTCTGTTGAGTTGCTTGACATCAATTAATATAATTGGCCAGAAAAGGTCTTGGAAGCATTGGATTATGGTGGAGCTGCTCCTTCTGGCAACGTTGCTCTTAAATACCCATGCTAGTGGACTTCTGATCATAGCCTTGTACTCTCACACATGATCTTAAACATGTTTTTCCCTTCAAAGCATGTTAGCTTGTGGCAACTTTCCCTGAGAGATTCTTTCAATCTTTGTTTTGGGGAACTTTTTTTTTTTTTTTAACAATGAAAACAGGAGTGCTAGATATGCTGTTTCTGTTGATTGTGGCAGACTGATACCCTGTTGCATGGAGCCAACTGAAGATCAGATCAGATTGGTAGTGTGGAGTGTAGGTTGTGGAACCGAGTGGAAAATGGAAAGTCAGCAAGTAGAGGAGGAAGAAGATGGCCTGTTTGGTGATCTAGTTTACCACAACAGAGGATCATCTGAGCTCTACAGACTCTCTTTCTCAATGGTTGGGTGCCCCCTTTGTAATGTGGTGGTAGCAAATACAGTTGCTGGCAGATTACCTGAGTCATGATGATTGAGATGTACCAGAACCATGTGACAGCCACCATTGCCATCAGAGCAGCCTGCTGAGAGGAAGATGAAACAGTAAGAACGGAAGGCTTCTGAAGACATTCAGCCTTAGGTGAGGATCTTTGTTGGGACCCTAATACATTTGTTCGAACTATTCGATGACCTGGAAAGTACAGCTGGATGTGATCATCATTTAGACTAGAATGGGCTTGTTCCAACTCTGTTAACGACACCATCATGGGTATCATGATGGACCATACAAGGGGAGCCAAGTAAGCCAGGCCCCCTTGTGAGAAATTCATCTTTAAGGTGCTCCAGGATGGTTATGGTTTGGGGAGTAAGTTGTATTACTAGATGGGTGCAGCTAACGATGGTGAGATCAGGTGGCCCCTGATGGATCCCACATGAAAGTTATGGAGAATTCTGAGATGGGTGTGCTGGTGGGATAATACCCTAGACTATGATTTCCCTATGGTATTGGTTTTTGAGGTTGTTTGGATGTAAAAGATGGAAGGAGGGTTGACTGGTTGGGGGTTGGCAGTATGAGTGGCTGGGCAAATCGCTGATATCCAGGGATTATTAGTTATGAAACAACTTATAAATTATTAACATATTGGAACATTTAGATTACATTGTTGGGGGACTGGCAGGTATAGACTGATTGTGACAAGGGTATAAGACACTGGGGTGGCCATTACAGGGAAAGGAAGAGGAACAATCTGCTTCTGACTCAGTTGCCTTACATCTAGATCCTTGTGGTCAGATGATTGGCGATCCAGGCCTCAAGCTGCTGATGGTAAATTCTTGCTCTGTATGCAATAAGACACCATTTATCTGTGAAATGGTAGTGGCTAAACATGGGACATGGGATGTACTTCTGAGATGGCTGGATGAGGGCAGTAATGTTGCCATCTCAAAGATCTATCATCTGAGGTTTGAAGCCCTTCAGAGGCCTAGATCATAAGATTGGGGAGAGACTATTAGTGTTGTTCTTTAGAGACACCTTGCCTGTGATGTGCACATCTATACATTACTGTAAGGGGTTCTTGGAGTCAAGTGATAAAGGGGAGGTTTCCAAAGCATGATAGAGGAGACATTTCAGTCTTATCTCTTAAGTGAGGCACCAGTGTCTCCATTAAGGAATCTGGTAGAAACACGATCAAATAACTCATAGAGATCCCACCGTCTTGCATGTTCTAATCAATAAGGACTAGAGTATACTCATCTAGTTTTCCAAATTCTCTAGCCTAATCCCTTTTCCCTGGCATTAAACCTGAACAATAATTGCACGTGTGCATACTTAGGATCAGCTGTGATTCAATAAACCCATGTAACTGTTTTACTGTATACTCTTGTTTCTTGTGGTGATGGTGCCCACTGGAGACAAGGATTGTGAGAAGGAGGGAAAAGTCCTCTATGTTTCCCCCCTCCCAAGAGTGCTTGGCCACCTGTTGCCATCAAGAGATAACGTGGGAGCTTCACATGATTACTCCTGAGTAGTCTATCTCAGCTGGCCAATCCTCAGTGGCTCTGGTTTGCCAAGAAGCCTCAGGAAATGAAGCAGCAAAAGCAACATCTGGAGAACCCCTGAAACAAACTTTACTAAACACCTGGGGAGAGAAGCATTGTTTCTCCTTTTAACAGCACGAGCAGGCTGTTGGCTGTTGTTTAGAATGGACTATTGCATGCTACAAAGATGGCAATAGGTAGATCTTCCACCTGGCTTTTGTAACCAGTTTGCTCAGTGCTTTGAAATAGCTTCAACCATCTGTTGACTCTTGGTAGGCAGAATCCAATATGGTGAGCGGAGCTGAATCTTGCCAAGTGATCTCAGATTTCTGTTGGTCTGTGGAATCCAAGCAAGTTCATAGGGTGCCTTCTGGGGTTTGCTTGGCCACTTGTGGACTAGATCCATACCCCTCTTGGCTCTGATGTGTGATACGAAGGGCTATGAGAAGCTAGATCTGGAAGTATATCAATGTCGCTCCAGGGCAGGGGGCCCTGAAAAATGCTGTCATGCATCCCTCTTTAAAACTCAGTTTGGACCACTATCACCCATTCCCTAATCTCCTCTTTTTGTCTGTTGACATCGTGATCTGTCGGCAACTACAAAGCACTCCTAGTAAGCTGATTATCTTGACCCTTTTAACCTGGACTCGGACGGCTCTGGTTGCTTTTGCATTTGACCTTTCTTGTGATCAGGAGAGAAGTACTCCTCCCCTCCTGGTCCTGTTAGACCTCTCAGCAGCCTTTGATACATTGGCCATGGTCCTTTCCTTACTGCCTATGAGGCCTGGGAACTGAAGGTACAGCTTTACAGTGATTCCACCCTTACCTTAGTGCGTAGTTCCAGCTGGCGGTTGTGAAGGTGCAGACAGTATGGTTCTCTCTCCCCTATGGCTTAACACTTAGATGAAGCTATTGGAAGAGGCCTTCCATTTGCTTAGTGTACAGGATTATCAGTGTGTTGATGATGCCCAGTTAGACATTGCCATCCCAGGATATACAGGAGATCTCCTTGATGTCTTGACCCAGTATCTGGAGGCTGTCAGGAACCAGAGGGCATGAAGTTAAATCCCAGCAAGGCATAGCTGCCTGTTTGCAGAATCAGGTCATCCAACACATCCAGGGATGTCTCTGATGGGGTGGGTCCACCTCTGAGAGAGCATGGGGCAACTTGAGGTCCTCTTGGACTTACAACTACACATTAATGTAAACTATTTCACAGTACATACTCCTCTCTCTTTCATATTTTTTTTCCAAATAATATTCCATTCAGGTGATATTGTTATTTGGATTTGTAAGCTAGATCAGTCAGCTAATCAAAGATGAATGGATTTCCTTACTGTTTTTTAAATAACCTTTTCCATGAAAATCACAACATTAATGGCTTGGAAGTATAGAGAAGTGTTATATATTGAACTGACACATTTTGTCTGTCTCTTTTTCACTACTTACATTTTTTTACATAATGAGCAGTTTGTCACCTAACCTGGTGTTTTTATTGACTCAAAGACACAGTTTGGTTGATGATGATGATGATGATGATGATGATGATGATGATGATGATTAGTTTTATTACTTATTATACAGAGAACATCATAAGCAGTCCTTATGGACAGTCCATTTTTAAGCTAGCTTTTATCTCAATTCCACTTTTGTTGTGCTTTGCAAAGCAGCATGTAAGCTTTAAAATGTATGAATAATCGTAGCGCTTTTCCACCAAGAGACTACACCAAAATATGCTTGGTAGAGAAGACTGGAAAGCCTTACAAATATAGATATGGAAGTGAAGGAATCTAGAAACTGGGTTATGATTCATCTTATGAACGAGGCAGAGCACACAACATATAAGGCAGGGGAGGAGCTGTAAACCCAATTGCAGGGGTCAAGTCCAGATCTTCTTTTGACATTCCAGGGGGTGGTTGGAAAGTGAACCTCTGCAGGAGGCTGGTAAAGAACAGGAAGAGCTCCATTTTGGCAAGCGTCTCACCCAAACATACTCTCCGACCTGCAACAGTGCACAGAGAGAGGGAAACTGGGTTCAGTGGTTCTTCAATAACCACTTCCTGCCATGAAATGGTGGCTCAGAGATGACAAATCACATGCATGAAAGCAAACTAAAATGAAAGCATAAAATGGGGATTAATTGTATAGGAATCATAGCAGTTTTAAAAGAGGAAGCTCCAGTAGTTACCTTCTACACTGAATCCCTGAAAATAGTTTGAGCATCCCACTATAGTTACAGGTTTTGCCAGTTTTTAGGGTGGTGAATGGATTATTTTGATGATTTCCTTACAACTAATGTTCTAAGGAAGAGTCTGTTACTGAAACTTCCTTTCACTATATGCAAGTATGATAGAAGATGTTACCTGCAGAGAAAGGCAGGAACGCATCTTTTTTCACAAATCTTTCTTCAGAGTCAAGAAAATGCTCAGGATAGAATTCATAAGGTTTCTCCCACTGAGATTCATCATGGAGCACCGATGACAGCAACGGAACAATGTGCATACCCTGGAAATCCAAATTAACATGTTATTAAACAATTAACAGCCCTCTTTGGTACATTCATTAATACGAAATTTCAAAAAGCCATCCCAAATACATGAATTTTCCAGAGTGATGGAAATGTGATTTCAATTTCAGGCATATAGAAATGTTGAACGCTGATAGCTTTTATGGCAAAGAGATCAAAAGTGTCAAGAGGACCAGATGATATGATTATCTGGTTGGACATGATAATTAGAAGGGTGTATACTAAGCTACGCTGACAGAACAAAGCATTTATTTCAGACTAATCACCTTGGGAATGAAAAAGCCTTTGAAAGTTATATCCACTGTAGTTGCATGTGCTACATTTGCTGGAACAATGTCAGCAAATCTTTGAACTTCATGGATTACTGCATCGGTATAGGGCATTTTTGTTCGATGTTCTATTCTTGGCTGAGCAGACCCAATGACCCTTGAAATTTCTTCATGGACTTTATCTAGGAAAATAAGATGTATGTTATTGTTTTAATTTTGCATTAAATGCTGGAAACATTAACTGTGAAGGATAGAGTATCATGAATTCAGATATCCATTCAAATTGGAGAACAGAGGCCCAAACGTACATGGGACTTCCATATGCATACATTTATCAATCCAGGGAACACTTTTCGCAGCACAGACTTGTATGTGAAGGGAATCAGAGATCTAGCTGAGCACTGATGTGGACTCTAGATTCAATCAATGCAACTCCAATTGCATTTATTTTAGTTGAATTGGTGGACAAAAACCTTAATTGAGCTTGTACCACCATCCTTGAGGAAAAGACTTAGCTAAATGAATGATACAAGCACCCACAGGGACTGTGCAAAGAGATTCCACACCATTCAGCACATTACCCCCTGTTTGACAACAAGAGTCAGCCATGAAAAGTTCACTTTTGTGGTTCGCTTATTTCATTGAGTTATACTTTCATTTAACTAAATATTCGAATACTGAAATCCAACCAGATGAAAAGTGCTTACTCTGAACGTCAGGATACTTCATCATTAGTAGCATGGCCCAGCGCAAAGTGGTTGAAGTTGTCTCTGTGCCAGCAGCAAATAAGTTACTCACAACAACAGTTAGGTTTTCATTATGAAAATACCTTTTCGTCTCATTTTTCTTCTCCTGCAATATATAAACAGTCTACCTAAGCACATTCAGGGTGCTCATATCAACTGAATAGCAGAGGGCTGGAGGACACTTCACAGCAGGAGAGTCTCCCAGAGTATTGGATTTCAGTCCCCAGCCTTCTGAATCAATGGCAAAGGATTGTGGGAATTGCAGTCCAAAACAGCCATAGACCACTGAGTTCCCTGTGATTTGTGATTCAGACATTCATAGGAATGGAAATAATGAGCATGAAGTTCTAGAGAAAGTCATCTGGAAATTCTTATTTTCTTCCTTCCTTTGCCTGAAAGTCCCAAGACTAGCTCACAGAGGTGGGTCAGTGACTCTTTGCTTTCAGCCTAATTATCTAAAAATAAATTAAAGGCAAAGGGGGCAACAACCAACCCCCCACCCTCCCCCCAGTTTCTAAGAGTTGGAGATCCTAGAATGACAAGCTTCTGGGATAGAAATTCTTCCAGTCGCCTGATGGAAGATATCTCCTTCCTTCTTCTCTCTCTGCTATGAAGCCTCAAAAGTGTAGTAAGTAGATAAATGAAATACTCTCAGAGGGAGAAAAATATCTGAGGTGAGCATTAAAAAAAAAAATATCTCCATTATATTGAAGCTTCTTCAGACATGAAAAACCAAGCCAAATGAATTATTCAGCAATATTTTCAAAAGGATCCTACACTGAGTTCCTACACAACTAAAAATCATTATTTCACAATTGCCTGATATTCTATTAGCGTGTAAACAAGGCTTTCATTAGATAAGACTTTTACTACTACTTGCTACTTTTTAAAAGATATCTTGAAAAAGAGACATGACTTGGGATGAAATTTTCAAAATTTCCATTGTATCTCAATCAAGGTATAATAGCAAGCTTAACAACTCAGATGATTTCGCCAGTTACATTTTTTTTATTATTATTATTATTATTATTATTATTATTATTATTATTATTATTATT